TAAACTGATAGCCCCATGAAATCAGAAGCTATATCTGTTTCTACTATTTTTATTGCAGCATCTACTGTGAGTGGCACCAACAAGATACTATAGAATGAATGAATGAATGAATGAATGAATGAATGAATCTGCAGCAGAGGCAACCACAGCCACCACACAGGCCTGGAAGGGGCACTCTTGGCCCTCCATAGTTATTGGGGCTAAGACTCGGACAAGAGACTCTGCCCTCTGGCCAGTCTACACAGAGTTAAATGAGGCCTGAGGCACAGGTCACCAGCAGTGTGTCTGGGTTGCAGGTCACCTGCAGTCCATCCCTGGCTAGTCACATCACCTCTCTAGGCCTCAGTGTCTTCATCTGTAACGTGCTGTTTGTCATTCCTGTTTCACACGGTTGTCAGGAGGACTACAGGAGACTTAGATGAGAAAGCGTGTTTTTAAAACTTTTAACCTTAGACAAGCAGAAAGGATTGTTTAGAGTTTTAAAAGGAACAGCTAGGACTCTAAATAGAAAAAAAAAATCAAAAGTGCAGGAAGTATAAAAGCTGACACAGGTGGTTTGACCCGAATGTGACTAAATAAGCCAGGTTCTCACACTATAGAATGACAGGTCTGGCTACAGATGGGTTTGACAGGTACCAGGAACCTGCCACTCGGTGCCAAGTGGTTTAGATACTAAGGCAGGCCAGTGTGACACCCCAGACACAGGGACCCTTGTCAGACCAGTGTGAGAGCTGCTGGTGGTCCCTTCTCCCCTGCTCTGTCCAGGCTGCCTGGTCCCTGGACTCCTGGGTGAGGGAGGAAGGCTGCCCTTCCCTGGCCCCACTGCTCCCCTGGGAGCCTCTGGCTGAGCTGCCTGACCCTGCAGTGGCCGCTTTCGTCCCCCTGGGGCCTCTTTGGCGCTAGGCCCTGAAGCCCAAGCCCTGTCTGCTGTTAAGTTTCCCTGACCTCTACGGAAGCTCCGTGTCCTCCCCAGCACTCTAGGCTTGAGCTTAGACCGCCTAGAAACAGGCCCCTAACAGGGGTCACACAACCTCTCATTTCTCGCCAGCTGTTCTGAAGTGTGTTGGCGAGGTGGAATGTGGGGCTCCAGGCACAGACCAGAGCAGTGAAGGGAGCGTAGCCCCTTCTCTCAAGGAGGCAGGAGCGGGTCCTGAGGAACCGGGCTGGGGTTGGCCCTTCTGGCTCTCCACTCTGCTCCCCCCACCCCACCCCTTCTAAGAGAGGCTCTGTGTGGAGGGCTGGAAAATGTGGAGCCAGGTCATTGGAAGGGAGGGGGCAGGAGGGACTGGCCTCTGGGATTTCTCACAGCATCCCTCATACCTCCTCCATCACGCCAAGGCCTGGGCACCTGACCGCCATACTGTCCTATTCTGCAGGAGTCTCCTTAGCCCTTCCCGCCACCGCCACCCCCCGCCCCTTTGTCTGCCCTCTTCTACTTCCACTCCAGGTCAGCTCAGCCCTCCTCCGAAGCTGTCCCAGGTAGCCCCACTCTACATTCCTGGCGACTGCTGCTCTCTAAAGCCATGGTCTATCTTCATGGGGTTTGCTTCAGTCTTCCTTAAAGCAATTCTGGGGGGAAAAAAACTATGTACTGCTTCGCATGTATTTCAAATTGGCAGCTACGATTTTTGTCGTAAGTTTACATCATTGCAGAGGGCATAATTTCTGAAATGCTCTAGATATTGTGACATTTTAAAAATAAAATCATTGACTGTTTTAAATGTGTGTTTGATGAAATCTAAACATCACAGTGGCCTGATGCCCTCCGCCATCCATTTAAACGTATATAATATAAATATGATAATGTGGGAGAGGAAGAAACCTGCCTCTAACCTCAAGGTTCTTTCGGCTGGTCCAGTAACCAAATAGACACAAGACAGATTCGTAAGATAAAATAACCAAACTTAATACGCACGTAGGTATGGGAACCTCGCATACATGAGAGTCCAAGATCCCACGTACACGAAAGGTTCAGAGACAGAAAGGGAACGTGGGTGTGTAAGACATCCTGAGCTAGGGATGGGGTAAGGATCACTGCAGGATGGTAAGAGGAGCAGAAACTCACTAAATAGAAGCTTGTCCTGCCCTATAGATGCATCAGAAGAGGTTTTCTGTGACAATCTCCTATTATGGGCAAGGCCCCTAATTCAAGTTCTTCTGGATATTTAAGGGAGGGGCAGAAGTTTCTCTTCAGCCCACAGGGTCCAGGGTCCAGGGTCTCTAGCTCAAAACAATCTGTAAACCACAGA